TTTCCCTCACTGCCTTCAGCCACCCTGGCCTTCCTGCTGTGTTTCACACATGCCCAATCCTTTTCTACCTTAAGGCCTCACCCTTACCGCTTCCTCTACTTGAAACTTAGAGACATCTTCCTTTAGCCACATCTCTGCATAAGTATCCCTGATTCAATGTTTTTTCCCTAAATGTGCTTTTATAAAATGACACTCTAATACCCTTTATTGTTTTCCCTGCTTTATTTTTTTTCAAAGCATTTTCAATGTCTTTCATTGTATCTATATCTATTTATTCATATAGTATGTCTCTTCCATTAGATTGTAAGCTCCTTGAGAGCAGAAGTTCACACTAGAGAGTAGCTGAGCCTAGTTTGGTGCCACCATAAATGCTTATTAAATATTTTTAATGAATTAAAATGAATACCGAGGGTGAATATGTTAGGGTACCTAGATCCTTCAAAAAAGATTGAATTAATTATTAGTGAAGATAAAACTATTTTGGGGAAGAAATGAAGTCTTTCTATATATCAGCTTCCAGAAATTGCCAATTCTTTTATGGATATACATCTAAAATTTAGTAGTGACACACTACAATCACAGGGCAGTCTGCAAGTCACACAAAATGTGCTTTAACAGAACTTTTGATATCCCAGTCTTTATAGAGGCAGCTGTAAACACATTTACTATCCAATCTCAAAAGCTTACATTATTTATCATTGCATTAAAGTCCTGGAATTTTCCAAGAATAAACAGATTGCTGACTATACAGCCATGTCCCGCCCCCCACCCCTCCACCCACAATGCCGCACTGCAGACCATCTAAAATGGATTTAAATGTCACATTTTTCAACTGGTCTTTTGCAGCTGTTTTTTCATTGACTCCCTCCAGTCCTTTTCTCTCTAATCATTCCTACTCTTCTCAGAACAACATGCTGCATTATGCAACAAAAATTTAATTCCATCCCCAACCATTTAAAATGATATATTGAATTATAGAAAAGGATGTTGGATTAAGATTATTGGAGAAGAGATTGAAATGAGTATATGTGCATTAAAAAAAAGGAGTCTTCTTTTGGACCCCAAAGTCATTCACTTAAGTTCCTACTACAGTTTATTTACCAACAAGTTTTCTAATTCTGCTTCTATTGAAGTTCTGACTCTAGGTGGGGGGAGCAAAGCAGGGATCAGGGATCATGACATTTTGAGTGAAATAGGATACACTTTAGTTGGCCATGTTGATAAGCTACTTGGGGATGTTAATGGGACCAAAGACAAACTCAGGAAATGAAAGATTATCAGAAGATGCTGTTTCTTCCTTTTACTCGGGCTTACATGGGAGATGTGCAGAAAATTTTTGGCTTAGACTTTCCTATGCTTCATCATGGGAGTCTAAAACTACAACCTGTAGACTAGCATTATGTATTTCTTCTCAAATGGCACTTCACTGGGTAATTTTAGCTGTGAATGTTCACAAAGAGCCTTCAGTATCATTGCCTGCAGACGGAAATGACTAAAAACAGAAATAAAGAGAAAATGCCTGGTTAGTATATAAACAAAATACTTGAAGATTGTGTGGTAATTTAAAAATGTATCACACAGAATTCCAAATAAGAAACTGCATAGTTTGTTTGCCATCTGCCATGTGAAACACATGTGGAGGCATTTCAGAATAAACATCTGAGAACATAGCAGAGGACCTAAGGGACAAAGTTGGCTCTGCCATTTCACACCAGGCTAAATGAACATAAGCTCGGTACAGCCACAGAAAATTTAATGTGGAGCTGTTAGGGAAGCTCCCCACCTAGGTGACTCCATTCATCCTTCAGTAACTTTTCTGGTGCTTTCCAAGGGCTTCTGGGCTGCCCATAAGTAGTCATAACTGAGGTTAATAGGGACAATATGTAGAGATCATCAGACTGTAAACCCTGATCGCAGAAAAGCAGTTGAATCATGTTTTTTTCAAAACTGTTACTTAAACCATTTTTGGATTCAGTTAGTCTGAAGCCAAATGAGTAGTCTATGTAGTAAATTATTTCTGCACAAAAATCTTGTTTCAAATCAGCACGTAAATGTTCTGGTTGAATTTTGACACAAACACAGTCACTATTCCCTATGCATTAGAAAGACTATATCTTTCCAAAATACATTCTATTTCTTATGTATTAGAAAGACTATTACAACTATATCTGGGAGCCAGTTCTCTTACTCTACAAAGAAATAATGATGTGTAAGAATTAGTTTGGGGGAATTGGGGGGTTAACTACAATCAGTATATTATTTGATTATTGATTTAATTTGAAATTTGCAAATAACTCAGGTCACTGGTTGTCAGTCTTTGTGGTGCCATAGCTCGTCGCATCTTTAGCTGTCTCAAGGACTACATACAAATCCTCCAAAATATCTCAAAACAAAATTAATTCTAACTTTCAAAAACAACAGTTACAAAGCCCCCAATAGGGTATCAGGAACTATCTAAGAGCTTTGCCTGTTTTGGCTCATACACATGGTGGGGCAAAAGTAGGTTTACAGTGGCGAGTACATGGAACACAGAGTTTATTCTTTTATTACTTATTAATTACTGTATTATTTTCCTTATGAACAGTTATAAACCTACTTTTGCCCAACCCTGTACCTAAGCCTCCCTGGGAGGGAAGAACTATTCCTATTCTAGTTTCACAAAGGGGAAATTGAGACAAAGATTAGGGAACTTGACCAACCTCGCACCGGCTAAAAATCGCACATCTGAGGCTTGAATCCAGTCAGTCAGACCACAGAGAACATATTTTTTTGTTTGAAGTAACATTAAGTAATTTTGTGAAGTGTCTAAAATGTGCATGTCCTTGGGCTAGCACCGAACACAAGGAAGCCATCTGGCTGGTCGAGCCCGGCAGCAGATGTCCCCAGGCCGACACTTGGCCGTGTGGTCCCTGTCACGGAGGCCAGATTGCACCACCTGCATGGATCGGCACAGCACCTTAATCTCTTTGCTTATTTTTATTTTTTAGTATAACAGGTTTATTGAGATATAACTCACATACCATACAATTCATCCATTTAAAGTGTACAGTTTAACAGCTTTTAGGGTACTCACAGGGTTGTGTAACCATCACCAGTACTTCACCATTCCACAAAGAAATCCCATACCCATTAGCAGCCACCTCCCATTCCCTCTCCCCAAACTCCTGACAATCTCTAGTCAGCTTTCTGTCCCTGTGGACTTTTAGATTCTAAACATTTCACAGAAATAGAATCATAAAATATGTGGGCTTTTGTGTCTGGCTTCTTTCCTTTAGTGTAATGTTTTCAGGATTCATCTGTATTGTAGTAGATATCAATCCTTTTTTATCGCTGAATAATGTTTCATTGCATGAATTTACCAGGTTAAAAAATCCATTCATTGTTTGATGGACACATTTCCACTTTTTGGTTATTATGAATAGTGCTGCTATGAATATTTGTGTGCACATTTTTGTGTGGATGTATGTTTTTGTTTCTCACAGGTATATATACTTAGGAGTGGAATTGCTGGGTTGTATATGTGGTAACTCTAGGTTTAGCCTTTTGAGGAACTGCCAGACCATTTTCTCTCCTTATTTAATGATATTAAGGAGTTTTCCTCAGCCGACTCTTTTTGCAAAAATGACTTTTCTAACTCTATAAACAGTAGTTGACACTGGAAAACAAGCATACTGGACTTTTTTTCAACAGTTGAAGGAGTCAACATGTGGACTGTAAATTGCCACTTTCAGTAAACCAAATGGAAACCAAATGGAAAGCTTGTAGTAACCTTGAGTAACTGCTCCATACCTCCTTAATATTAAGAATACTAAGTGTTTTATTGAGTATTTGAACAAACTTAATAAGTAATGATAACAATAATGGCTAACATCTGTTGAATGCTGCAGATGTTCCAGACAGCCTATGAAATATATTAAAGGTGTTTTATAATCTAATTTAACTACTAACATGTTTTAGAATCCTTCCATTCTAGAGGGTAAGATTTTAAAAATATCATAAAAATGACAGAGAGCTGTATTTTATCTGTATCAATGACTAGATAGGGGGAAAAAAAGATTTAGCTTAAAGTAAGAAAAACTGAAACAAAAGATGAACTCCCTTAAATCAAAAACTGTTCATAAGAACCTCATTTAATGGATTTCATTGAGGGCGTTTTACTGTCAAGAAGCAAGAAATAGAGTGAATTACTATTATTTATTCTGGGTCTGTATGCTGACAGTGCTATCTCAAGGTTTGAGTTTTTTACAGGTATACAGAATTTGTTTCCAAAAAAAATGTGATAGAAGCTCATAAATACTAACTGAAAAGAGAAAAGAGAAATGTTCCTATACAACATTTTAATTGGCTTTTGTTAAAAGTTTTCCTTGCAAAGTGCCTATCTCTTGTCTAGTATGAAAATTTGAATAAGTTTTCCTGCCATAACCTACTTTAAATACCAGTGAGTATATATAGTTAAATAAACAACCAAACAATGAGAAACAAAACTTATACAGTATTTTGTTTGTGATATGTTTAAAGTACAGACAGATAAATTTATATTCATCACAACAAATGTTAAGGCCTTAAAAGCCACTACTTGCAAAGAATAATTATAATTGTATGGTAATTACATTTCCTACTAAAAATTATAATACATGTCAGGAAATCCACAAGTAGGCCCTTCTTGGGGAAAAAGAAAAACAAAGTTATCAATTTGCTTCAGGATATTAGGTAAGAAAAAAAAATAATGGGTATTTAACTGAAGAGTACACTGTGTTGATTCTGATTTTGTGTGAAGTTTACCACATAGGAGGAATTTCTCATTTGCATTAAAATTATGAATTCACAACTGTGAAAAAATTTAGAAGCATAATTATTTTCAATTAACTCTAAATTGCTCGTAGAATTGAAGGTCATGGGAATAATCCCTACCCTAATTTCTGCATTAGTCCTTAGATCCAGGTGCCAGCCACTTGCAGTCATCTTCATTCTGTAGGAAAGACTAGACCTTTCTGTAATATTTAGCAACCGATCCAGGAACTAGATTTCAGCACACTAACCACATCTTCCTTCTCTATATCATACTTGTATGTTTTTGGTCCTGAAAAGAAGTAAATGTAGCCTAAAAGAGAGAAAGGTGAAATTGTGGTTACTGAAAATGACTTGCAAATTTCTAAATGGGAGGATTTGTAATTGTCATTTTCTTGAGGTGGCATCAAAGGGGAATGTGTCAGGTGGCAGTTAGCAAGTCCTCTGCACAGTTGTCCCTGAGCCCTAGAACCTGACACCTCTAACTTCTCAATCACCTCTCATCTTTTTCTCTCTTCCAGCCAGGGTTCAGCCTTCTCCTTGGGTCAAGCTCAGTTGTGCTTGGTGCTTCTGGTCAGGCTGTTCTCCTCCAGGAAGTTCCCCGCCCTTTTCTTTCCCCAATCAAACCTCTAGCCATTTTTGAAAACCCAGCTGAAGTCCTGCAATGAAATCTCCAACTACGAACTCCGATCCTGATCTTTTCTCTTAGATCATCTCTAGCTCTTATTGTGAAGGCTTCTGAACAATTCAATACCAAATTATAGATTGTCTTGTTTTTTTTTAGTAATTTCATCTGTGTTCAATGAAGGGGCATTTCCCAAAGACATTAACCATTGTGCAAGGACAGAGACCATGCCTGGAACTGCCTTTACATCTCTGAAGTGTTCAATTTGTGCTCGATATTCAAAAAGAATGTGTCGACTGACTTGTTCAAAAGATTCAATTAAATTTCAACTCTGTTCAGTTTAATTCATCTTTCCCAACTATGTGTTGAATTTCAAGAGTTGAGTGATGAAGTGGGGAAAGGCACTGGGAAAGTTGAGCATATGTGCATCTTAAAGATAAAAATGGTAACTTTGATCAGGTAAACTTTCTAACATAGCTGCCTAATGGATTGAAGCTATACATTTAAAACTTTCCTTTCTCAAAGAGAGAAGCATGATGGCAGACCTTTTATAGTTATTCTTTCTAGTGGTTAATCTGGTTAGCTAAATGTATAAGGGACTCAGGGGCCAAAGGTAAGAACTAGGGATTCCAATTTGGAAACCCATTTTCTGTTATGTTAAAGCAGAGCCCAAATTTCTTGCTACAATTTCCACAAAGAAAGTTTTTGGTGAAAACACTCACCATTTAGTTCCACAGCGGCATCTATTTGTCCATTTACTCCTGAAAATTCCTCTTCAGTATTCTTTGGGTAGTCTTTTTCCATTTTCATTTTTCGTTCATCATAGCTAGAAGAAGTATTATTTCATAAAAGAGGTTTTTATTAATTGTAGATCCAGCATAATTAGCCAGGGCTGTCTTATAACTTACTTTAAATTCCTCTCGCTCTCTCTCTCTCTCTCTCTCTCTCACACACACACACACACACACACACACACACACACACACACACACACACACACACACAATCACTATTCTTCCAGGTTCCTGAGATTCTGGGGCCACTAGCTTCTCTAAAGAGTCTCTTTAAAACATTGTCAGATATATTTCTTAGAATTAGTTATCCTATATATTATAGCAACATTTTCCCATAATTTAAAAAATATTGCTTTTCCAAAAAAAAACCTCTACATATATTTTTCATAGTTTATTTACTGTTGTAATTACTCTCTCTTTCTCTTTCTCTCCCCCCAGCCCATGTATGAACTCCTTGGCTCACTAAACAGGTGAGAGTCTTTCACCGGGGCTTTTGTTCATTGGCTTTTTGCTGTGCATCCATAGAGGTGAGACTGAATAAACAATTCACAATGAAGGAACTAATATTTGAAAGATAAATAAGCAAAGATAAGAAATAAGAAAACCTGGAATATCTGAGTTTTCGCCTTTTAAATCAATTTAACTAAATTGCTTTTGGCTGGAAAGATTATATGACTAACCAAATAGACTAGGTATCTGTTTCTGGATCAGCAACCACCATTCAGCAGTAACTCTGAAGATTGATTAATACATCTCTTTGTGATCAAAATTACCCGCCTTGTAAAACAGACTGACTTGTATGAATCACCATGACTCATATGAGTTTACCACGTAGACGGAGCAGATTTTCATGTCTTTAAGAAGGCTTCATATAAAGTGCAAGAAAGTCCCTTCTTCATCAGCAAAGAGCTCTCAATGATGACATTCCCAGGGTGAGCACCCAGCTCTTTCCCCACCAAAAGGTTAGACAACTTCTCCTGGTGTCTGAGCCACTGGGCAGTTTCCTGTGGCAACAGATCATACCTACCTTCTCCCAAAATGTACCTCTCGTGTGTCTATGAATGCCATCCCAGAGGACTGATCTCTTATGATACGGAGCAAAAGGTAAAAGCTGGGACAGAAGTCAAGCTGAAACTAGCCAGATTGAAATTGACTTGAAGATTGAGCTGTTTTAGGGAGCTTTGAGGATAGGAATGAAAGCCGACCTTCCCAAACTCCCTTTCCATGAGAGCCATTAGGACTTTTGCTGTAGCACAAACAAAAATGGAAACTATTTACTGTAGTTCATCATCTTCAGATGTGCCAACACAATGTATGGAGACAGGGCACCTGTGCACTATTAAAAGAAATTATTGCAAGGTATAAGGAGTAGAGTCAGAGAGGAAATGGAGGGGGAAAAAATTTTAAAAAGGAACAGCCCAGGCACTTTGGCTCCCTCAGGACCTAGATTTTTTTTTTTTTTGTTCACTTTGTTCTAGAATATGAAATCCAGAGTCCTTTACTAAAAATGGAAGTTAGATTTTTCACATGTTAATCTTCATTCACTAGGTTGTTTTTCTTTTTTTGCTTCCTGAAGATAGTTGTATTGAGGCAATGGAAGCTTTGATTGGAAGGAGTGAGGAAGATAATTGTAAAGCTTAAAATATTTGGGGTGTGGGATGCAAAAGAAAACAAAACCACTAAGATGCATTTGGCATGTCTGTATACACAGAGGGATAATCACAATGGTAGCATAACAGAGAACATGACTTATTTTGAATTCTTTGCCTAATATTCACCTATGCTCAAGAAAAATGGTGGAATGCCCTTCATATCTTTATCCTCTTTTGTCTGCTCTGAATAGAGGATATGAAACTAAACTACTATAATTATAGCCCCTTACCTTTGTGTATGTTTAACAGACATTTATGAGTGATTTTGAGAATTAATCATCACTTATATTGTTTATGGCAAAATGTATTCTCAGTTCCAAACAAGAGACTGACTAAAAAATACTACAATTTGGGATCTGCGTGTATGGTATTTAAATTGGATGGAGACATCTGGAAAGTAAGAAAGGACAGAGCAAAAATCTTTCTTGAGAATAGAGACACAGTTTAAATAATACAGAAATATATTTTAAAGAGAATATAATGACTATTAATTCAATAGAAATATTTGAAAAAGAAAATTTTCTCTTTTATCTGTCTGCTTAGTTCCCCTTAATGAGTGGTGGTAACAACTAAAATCTTATGTATATCTCATCAGAGGTTAACAGAGGTAATAATATTATATATAAATAAAATTTCAGAAGAAATTTTAGAGAAGCAACGTCCAATTGCAAATTTTGATTCGCAGTCATATTTATAAAAACCTCGGCAAAGTCCTTGGCAAAATTGTGAAACTGCTATTTCTTTCCTCCATCTCTTCTACCACTTCTATATTTACCAGCCCCCTTCCTTCCTGCCTTCTTGCCCCCGGCCTATAACTGCCTATAATGCAAAGAGCATTATTCTCAACAAACTCTACTTAAAACTATCAGTCTGACACAAAAATCACCACTTTGAGATTAGATGGTAACATATTAATATTTCATTTGAACCTTTTATGTAGACATTATGTAGGCAGGACCTATATAACTAACATAATGCTACCTACTTTTCATTTTACCAAGTAAGAACATTACCATCACACCATCAAAACAATTACCATTTATTTTCATTACAATTTCACAAAGAAAAAACTTCAACACCAAAAAATCAGAAAGAACGTTAATCTTAGAATGAAAGATGGTTCTTGCCAATAGTGTATCTTTATACTGACACAGATCCCACTCCCAGACAAGTATAATATCGTGCTGTTCTTATTTTGCTTATAAAAATTTGAACTTATAAAAAATTTGTGATGAGCTAGCCCTTGGTTTGTGGACAAATATTTGAAGATTTCTGTTACAGAGCAAAGAGCACAACATGTACAGTCATCAGACAGCTCTATCTTTGAATTCTGACTCTGTTATTTGCTGGCTCTCTGATTGGGGGAAAGTGCTCAGAGCTGTAAACCCTGGCTTACTCATCTGGGTAATAGTAGTCATGAGGAGGAGAGACAATTTATACACACACATGCAGACACTCAGGGCAGGTGCAAGCCACAAGACTTCATAGTTTATTTTGTCACCAAGAACCATTCACTCTGACTGGCTAGTAAGAGGTTAAGTGAACTTTGTGATTCAATCTGGGATTTTCAAGTCATCAGTGAGTTTAATCTTGACCTAATCTTTAAATACATTTCATCAGGATAACATTTTGCAGTAGTAGGCGAGATTGCAAAGAGGTGGAGAAAGGAGGGCTGGAGAATGTTGGAGGTAGTCTAGAGAATTTAGCAAGGAAGGAATTAAGATTGAGAAGGTCTACTGGTATTTTGAGGATTTCCCTGAGGGTTTAAAAAAAAAAGGAAATTATATAATGGAGTAAGAATTATAGGTGTATTTTAATTGACAGTAAATAAATAAATAAAGTGAATGAAGAATGACTATATATAGTGAATGGGAAGGACCTCTGAATTTGGATTCAGAGGACATGAAATAGAGCCTTGAGTGGACCATATTTAGCTGTGTGACCTTGATCTAATCACTTAATCTCTCTGATGTGATATTTTTAACTGTTAAATGGAGATCAGAGTACATATTTCTCAAGATTGTTTAGGAAGCAGGTGGAAAAATGAGATAACTGAGAAAATACTCACCATCATCCTCAACACAGAATCTGTGTTAGATTCCTCACACATAATAAAAAAAATATTAGTTTAATTTAAATGTTAAAAAAATGAAGTAGTTATTGTGAATTCCCTCTATACTACTTGCTGAAATCAATTGTGTATATTTTCTTATCACTGAGGTCTTGTCTCAAGAAATATCAACTGAAATACCTAAATACCAACTAAAATTAATTGACCTATAACTAAGTTTACTTTCTTTATGGGCATTTGTTCATCTAATATTAATTAATGGGTATAGATATTAAATAAATAATTACTGACAGCTAAACTTCACTAGCAATGTCATGGTGCCATAGATGTATGATACAGTTTTTTGAGCTGAGTTATCTTGTTCTCCACCTTTGTAACACAAGGACTTGGGATTATTTTTGTAAAGCGCCTATGTGGTGTTAAATTTTATGCTCAGAACTCAGATTAGTTAGAGTTTTGATTGTGATGATATCTATCTATCACATGACAATGGCAAAACTGACTCCATTCTACCTCTTTTAAACTACTAACTGAGGAGCTGTGTCTGTTAACAGATGCTTTAAAAAAATGTGAGGAAGGATTGCAAAAACAGGAATTTATTCATAAAGTGTCTAAGATATATGTTTTCAGGTAGCTTCTTCAAGGAGATTTTTCTAGTGAAATGGAAAACTGGAATCTCCTTTGAGGTTAATAATCCACTTCTAGCCAGGAATCACATAGCTTTCACAAAGGAAAAGGCCTTTGTAATCCACGCCAGAGAATGGCGAGGGGAGAGTGGCCAGAACGAAGGGAAGGGAGAAGAGTGAGAAGCTGCCATGCACTATTCTAGGCAAGAGTCCAAAAGCCAGTACCCCATGAGGTGAGCAGATTTGGAGCAAAGAGTTTGTAACAATATGGAAAAATAATGATGGCCTCAACTACCACCTGATTGTATGATGAATCCAAGTTTATCTCTCCAGCCTGAGTTCTCTGAATTTAAGACTTGTATGTCCAACTCTCTTCTGGACTTTTCTATTCTTGGGTCCCACCAGCACATCCAACTCCACATGTACAAAATGTAATGTCTATCTGTTCCTTTAATTCTGCTTTAATTCTAAGTTTTATTCTTTCCCCATTGAGTGGCCATAGCATCCTTGTCAAAAATCAACTGACCATAGATTTATGGGTTTATTTCTGGATTGTCAATTTTATTCCACTGATTTATATGTCTTTCTTTATGTTAGTATCATATTGTCTTGATTACTCTTGCTTTGTAGCAAGTTTTGATATTGGGAAGTCTGAGTCCTCCAACTTTGTTCTTTGTCAAGAT